AAGTTCATGTTGTCCAATCTCTTCAGATGCTTGTTGTTTTTGTTGTTCGGCCAATGATTTTTTCCTTTCATATTGTTCCGATTTGGACTCGAGTTCTTCGATTTTTATTTTGAATTCGTCAAGTCTTTTAGATTGTACCTCACGTTCTTGTTCTGCGTTTCTGATTTTCTCAAGTTTTTCTTCATGTTTTTTCTCGTTGTTTTCTTGAAGTTTTTCTATTTCTGTGTTGATTTTTTGTTGGAGTTTTTCTGCGTTTTGCTTTAGACTTTTAATTGATTCATTTATTTCTTTTTTTTCGGCCTATTATTATATTATCATTAATTAATTATCATATATATGCTCGGGCGGTTGACAGTTTGAAATTTTCATACATACCCGAATTTCTTGAATTTGTACTTTATTATTTTTAATAAGAGCTATTAATTCTACTTTTCTATTTTGTAATGGTAAAGATGTTTCTGCGTGTGCATTAAATTTTTCTTCTAATTCAGATATTTGTGATTCAATTTCTTCCAAGTTATGCTGATCATTATGATGATGATTACAATAATTGAGACTATGAAAAAATTAATATAAATAATGAGTTTATAGAACTTACAATTTCCAATTCCAGCTTATCTTGTACAGAAGGTAATCTATTCATTGCTTCTTGTAAATTCTTTTCATGTTTTGCAACATCCTTTTATTATTAAATTTTTTGTTTATTTTTTTGTTGGTTAACAAAAATAGAAAAGCATGGAAGAATTGGCTAGTAAAAAAATAGGTTATCAAAATGATAAATCACATTTGCAAAGAAAACTAGAAATGGAACAACGAAAAGTTGATGCTATCCAAACTGAATTGGAGAAATCATTAAAAGAACTTGAAGTATGTTTCTTTTTTTAGTTTGTATATAATTTGAATATCATTTATTGTAAATCTTTGTAATAACTATCTAATTATATTTACTGACATCTTGACGGGGAAAAAGGATTTGAGCACACAAGCGCAGGAGTATTGCCCTGAACGCGCTGAAGTCACTAAATCTTCATTTGAATTAGATCGTGAAATTCAACATATTCAAGATCGATTAAGAGTAAGAGAAAACGAGTATGTATTCATCAATTTGAACCTAATTAATATTCATCATGTATGTACGTGCGATAT